GCTGGCTAGCTAGCTAGCTAGCCAGCTAGGTGGCTGGGCCTGGGGGGGAGCGGAATCTGGGGGCGGAGCTGCGGCGCAGTTCCATGTAAACCCTAAACCCTAAACCCTGGTAAAGGGTTTAGGGTTTGTGATCAGGTCGCTGGGGGCCCCCGAGAGGCAGGAGAGAACTTTGGGGGCCCCAAGGGAAAAAGGCAGCAGAGGATCTTTGCATGCAGCTGGTGTTGCATGCGCTGGGGTGTACGTACACCCCGAGCTGCCAACCTCTTCAACTAGAAGTCCATTTGCGCATTTTTTTGCACAAAAATGAAAAGCAAAAGTATATTTATATTATTTTACTAAAGTAATTTACAACAAATATATATTTAGGGCTTTTTGAAGAAATTAAACAAGTAAAGATGCAGTGTGGGCCCGCCTCATACATATTATTATATAAAATGTGCATAGTTAATATATTTATATATATAAACTCATACATAAACCTATAGTTGTACACAACACAGCAAAGTCCAAATATATATCTGCAATTATATAGATACTTTTACTCATAAATTAATATAAATTCTTTTACTTTTATAAAACAAAAGTACTTACACAAATAGTTGAAGTTATACAAATAAATATAAATACTTCTACACAAAACAAACATAACGACTTGCACTATACAAATACAAATATTTGGAAGTATTTATATTAAATCAAATACTTGCAGACAAACGCTAAATAATAGAACAGGCTTTTCTGGCCCCCAGAGGAGGCCCCCCAGAGGGGGCCCCCCAGAGGGGGCCCCCAGAGGAAGCCCCCCAGAGAAGGCCCCCAGAGGGGCCCCACAGTTGACTTTCTTTGCATGCAGTGCCCACTTTGGGGCTTGCATGCAAATTAAATGCAAAACTAAACAAATAAATGCATGCAAATTAAATGCAAAGCTAAACCAAATGCATGCAAATTAAATGCATAACTAAACAAATAAATGCATGCAAATCGAATGCAAAAGTAAACAAGTGCAAACGGCAATTTACACAAAACTGCATTAAATAAATACATGCATTTAAACCATTTTTATATTTCCTTCTTTTAAATAAAGTATTTACATGAAATACTTTATTGTTATTAAATCTATTTATGCATGCAGCACGACTTTTCGTGCAAAAGTGTTCTAAACAAAAAACGAAAAATGCCATCAATGTCATTAATTGAAATATGCATTTTGAATTCCTTTTGCAAAGATGCATTCGGAATAGTTTTTATTCGGAACTTGGGAATCAAAAAGCCCCAAACGCAGGCAGCAAACGCATGCAAGTAGTGCATTTAAAAAGGACTTTAAAGACCTGCTAGAAAGGCATTTGTGGGGACTAAAAAGTACATTTTGGACTTTTCGAAAATAAAATTTCTAAAAAGACGCAACAAATGGACTAGTTCGAAAGCTGCGCAATGCAGACGCAAGAAAAAATACTTTCTATTTCTCTGGGCCCGCGGCGACACAAAAACCAGCTCAGCCGAGCCCCCACACTGCAGGGCACTTTTGCTGCTGCTGCTGCTGCTGCAGAAGCAGCAGCAGCTGCCGCTGCAGCAGCAGCTGCTGCTGTGAACCCCTTGAACCCCTCGGGCGCCGCCAACGTGGAGGTTCCCCTCCTGCCGCGGCTGCAGCAGCTGCTGCAGCTGCTGCAGCTGCCACAGCTGCAGCTGCTGGAGCAGCAGCAGCAGCAGGCAAGAGGCTCCGCTGCAGCAGCTGCAGCAGCTGCAGCAGAGCCTCACCTGCCCCAGGTGTACGTACACACCTGGCTCCACTGTATGCAGCAGAAACAGCCCCACAGCCCCCAAGTTTCGGGGCTTTTTATAAACGCATGCATTCTCTAAGGCAGCAAATACGCTGCGCACAGGGCACAGCAGGGGCCCCTGAGAGGGGCCCCCACGGAGCGAGAAAGCAGCAGCAGCGGCTGCTGCAGCTGCCGCAGCAGCAGCTGCAGCGGCTGCAGCTGCTGCAACGGCTGCTGCAGCTGCTGCAGCTGCTGCAGCACGCGCATGTGAGCGGCAGTTAAAGAATCATCCAGCCATCTGCTGCTGCTTTCATTGGCTCCTTGTGCTTCTGCTGCTGCAGCTGCTGCTGCTGCTGCTGCAGCCGCTGCTGCTGCACCAGCAGTACAGAGATGGAAGTTTGGCATCATGTGCCTCTGCTGCAGGAGCAGCAGTGTTTTGCTGCAGCAGTATGCTGCCGCAGCAGCACTAAGCCGCAGCAGCAGCAACATGCTGCTGCAGCAGCAGATGCACACGGATGGCAGCTATAGTGTTGTGGGGCCATCTTCTGCTGCCCCATCATTGGCACCTTGTGCCGCTGCTGCTGCAGCAGCTGTGAACTGCAGCACCAGTATACTGCTGTAGCACCAGTACGTTGCTGCAGCAGCAGTACGTCGCTGCAGCAGCAATATGTTGCCGCAGCAGCACTATGTTGCTGCAACAGCAGGAGTACACTGCTGCAGCAGCACCAGTTTATTGCTGCAGCAGCAGCACGCCGCTGCAGGACTTGTAAATGAACGGCGACTGACGAATATTAGGCCTGCGTGCTGCTGCCTTCACTAGCCCCGCGCGCACTGCAGCAGCAGCAGCAGCCAGCTGCTGCAGCAGCAAACTGCTGCTGCTGCTGCAGCACAGGGGTGGCAGCTAAAGAGTAATGGGGCCTTCTGCTGCTGCTTTCATCGGCCCCTTGTGCAGCTCTATGCTTTCCTCTTCTGTCTTTCCCGTCAAGTCTGCGTTGGCGCCTTCTTTGGAGACAACGTGGCCTGAAAGCAGCAGCAGCAGCAGCAGCAGCAGCAGCAGCAGCAGCAGCAAGGGGACGCAGCGCGGAGCATTAGACACGCGGGAGGGGCTGGCCAAATGGAGAGAACAGCCACGCCGCAGGGAAGCTGCTGCTGCTGTTGCTGTTGCTGCTGTGAAAGACGCAGCAACTGCAGCAGCAACAGCAGCAGCAGCAGCAGCAGCACACTAGCAACCATCAGCAGCAGCCCCAGCAGCAGCAAACCTTCAGGAGTGACTTCAAAGCGCCTGAACCTCCTTTCTTTGGGTTCCCCCGATTCAAACCTAAGGACAAACCCCAAACCCTAAACCCTAAACCCTAAACCCTACAAAGCCGTGAACTGCAGGAGCCAGCGCCCACCCCGAAACCCTCGACCGCAGGCCCCACGCCGCAGCAACCCCCAAACCCTAAACCCTAAACCCTAAACCCTAAACCCTCGCCGCGAACCTCGTAAGAAGCACAGAAATGTTGTCTCCAGAGAAAGAATGGAAAGCCTGTTCGAGGAGCTTAACTGCTGCTTCTGTCAAATCGTTTTGAAGTTCATGAAGAAGAGTCATTACGAAGTGCGAGACGAAGACCCAGTCCATGTTTTCCGGCTCGTAGACCCCTGCGCAAACCCCAAACCCTAAACCCTAAACCCTAAACCCTAAACCCTAAACCCCC